AACAGGTTCGCTACCTGATGGGGTAGAGGCCCCTTGAGAAAAAGAGTAATTACAGGGTAGAGGCCCCTTGAGAAAAAGAGTAATTACAGGGTAGAGGCCCTTTCTTGAGTAATTACCGGGGTAGAGGCCCCTTGCTAGGGGTTTGTATTGGTAGGGAGGGGGGGGGTGGGGGGGGGGTATGGGGGGGGTGTGGATTGAGGTAGTTGTTGGGGGGGGGTGTGGGGTAGGAGGGGGGGGGGTTTTGGTGTGTGTTTTTGGGGTGGTGGTTGGGGGGGTGGGGTTGGGGATTGGGTTGTTGATGGGGTGGGTGTGTGATGGTTAGGGGTGTGGGGGTGGATATGGGTTGGGGTGTTTTGGTTTGTGTGTTTGGGGTATGGGTTTGGTATGGGGGGGGAGTATAGTGAAGGAATGTATGTGTGTGTATGGATGGGGGGGGGGTTGGTTTTATTTGGGGTTAGTGGTGATGGGTGGTTTTAAGTGGGTAGTTGGTGGGGGGGGGGTATGGGGGGGTTGATGGTTTGGGGGGTTGGGGTGGTGGGGTGGGGGGGTGGGGGTGGGGGGGTGTGGGGGGGGGGGGGTGGGGGGTGTGGGGGGGGGGGGGGGTGGGTGGGTGGGGGTGGGGGGGTGGGGGTGGGGTGGTGGGGGGGGGGGGGGTGGGGGGTGTGGGGGGGGGGGGGTTGGGGGGGTTGGGGGGGTGGGGGGGGTGGGGGGGGGGGGGGGGGGGGGGGGGGGGGGGGGGTGGGGGGGGGGGGGGGGGGGGGGTGGGGGGGGGGGGGGGGGGGTGGTTGGGGGGGGGGGGGGGGGGGGGGGGGGGGGGGGGGGGTGGGGGGTGGGGGGGGGGGGGGGGTGGGGGGGGGGTGGGGGGGGGGGGGGGTGGGTGGGTGGGGGGTTTTGGTGGGTTGGGTTTGGGTTTGGTTGATGTTTGGGTTGTGGTTATGTAGTGTTGTTTTATTGGATTTGGTATTTGTTTGTTTGTGTTAGGGGGTGTTGGGGGAGGGGGGGGGTGGGGGGGTTTGTTTGGTGTAGTGGTGTGAGGGGAGGATGGGGGTGGGGGGGGAATTTTTGGGGGGGTTGGGGGGGGGATTGTAGGGGTGGGTGGGTGGGGGGGTGTTTTTGTGGTTAGGGGGGGTGGTGTGTGGGGGTTTATGGGAGTGGGAATTGATTATTATGTTGTGGGTGGGGGGGGGGTTATGGTGGGGGTGGTTGGGTGTTGTTGGTTGTGGGGGTGGGGATTGGGGGGTGGGGGGGGGGGTGATGATGGGTGGGTTGGGGGGGTTGATTGGTTTGGGGTGGGGGGGGGGTGGGGGTGGTGATGTGGGGGGGGGGGGGGGTGGGGGGTGGGGTGGTGGTGTGTGGGGAGAGGTAGGGGTTATTGTGGGTGGGGGGGGTGAGGGAGAGTATGATGAGGGGGGGGATGTTTGTGATGAATAAGGTTTAATTATGGGGAGAGTATGGGGGGTAATGGGGGGGGGTATGTGATGTTGTGTGGGTTGTATGTGGTGGTGGGGGGTGTGTGGGGGGGGGGGTAGGTGGGTGGGGTGGGGGGGGGTTGGGGGGGTTGGTGGGGGGGGGGGGGGGGGGGGTGTATGTGATTTGGGGGTGTAGGGGGGTGAGTATGGTATATAGGGGGGGTGAGGGTTGAGTTTTGGGATGGGGAGGGGGGGGGGGGGGGTGTTGGTGTGATGGGGGGGGGAGATTGTGTGGGATGGTGAATGGGTTGTTTGGGAGGGGTATTGGGTGGTATGGGGGGTGGATTTTGGGGGTTGGGGGGGGATGGGTTGGGGGGGGGTGGGTGGATGGGGGTAGGTGGGGGTTGGTGGTGGTTAAGATGTGGGGTATTGGGTGTGATGGGGGGGGGGGTAGGGGTTGGTTTGTGGGGGGGGTGTGGGGGTGTAGGGGTGTAGTGGGGGGTATTGTGGGGGGTGTGGGGGGTGATTGGTATGTAGTGTATGTGTATGGGATGGGGATATGGGGAGTGGATGGTGTAGGGGGGGGGGGGGGGGGAGTTGGGGGTGGTTGTGGGAGGGGGGGGTTGGTTGGGGTGTGTGTGGAGTTTGGGGATTGGATTGTTTGTGGGTATGGGGGGTGTTGTTTTTTATGTTGTGGGGTTGAGTGTGGGGGGGGTATGGGGGTGATGTTGGGTTTAGGTGTTTATTTTGGGTGGGTGGGGGTTTTGTGGGATATGGGTTAGGTGTGGTGGGTTGTGTGGAGGGGGGGGGGTGGGGTATGGTGGGTTGGTGGGGGTTTTAGTGGGGGGGGGGGGGGTGGTGGGTGGGGGTGGTGGGGGGTTGGGGGGTTGGGGGTTATGATTGGGGGTGGGGGGGGGTGGTGTTGTGTTATGTGGGGGGGTGATTGAGAGGTAGATAGGGGGGGGGGGGGGGGTGGGGTTAGTGGGTGATGAGGTGGTGTTTAGGGGGTGTGTGGGGGGGGTATGGAGTTTGTGGGGGATAGTATGGGGTGTGGTGGGGTATGGGGGTGGGGGTGGTATGGGTTGGGATGTGGGTGGGGGGGGGGGTGTGATGGGGTGTTGGTGGGTGGAGTGTTGGTGGATTAGGGGGGTTGTGGGATAGGGGGGGGGGGGGGGGGTGGGTAGGTTGGTGTGTTGTGTTGTGGGGGGGGGTATATGTAGGGGGGGTGGAGGGGGGGGGTAGGGTTAGGGGTGGGGGGGGGGGGGGGTATGGGGATTTAGGGGGGTGGATGTTTGTGGGTAAGTGTAGGTTGATTGGGTGGGGGGGTGGGGAGTGTGGATATGTGGGGTGTGTAAATAGTTGTGGTGAGTTTGGGGGGGGTTGGTTATGGGTGGGTTGGGGGGGGGGTGTGGGGGGGGGGTGTGGGGGTGGGGGGGTGGGTTGTGAGGGGGGGGGGTGGAAGAGAAGTATTTTTGTTTTGGGATGGGTGGGGAGGTATGGGGGTTTTGGTGGTGTTGTGTGGGGGGGTGGGGGGGGGTAAGGGGGGGGGGGGTATGGGGGATTAGTTGTGGGTGGGGGATGGGGTGGGGGATAGGGTGGGGTTGTAGAGGTTATGTGGGGGTTTGGGGAGTTGTAGTGGGGGATGGTGGGTTTTGGGGGGTTGGGGGTGTAGGGGTGGGGATGAGGGGGGTTAGGTGTTGGGTTGTAGTGGGGAGTGGGGGGTTTTGTTGGTAAGTTGGAGGGTTGAGGTGTTTTTTGGGGATGGAGGGGTGTAGGGGGGATATGGTGGGGTAATATGTTTGGGTTGGGTGGGTGAGGGGGTTGGGAGGTGGGAGGGTGGGTGGTGGGGGGGGGGGGGTTTTTGGTGTTTGGGGGGGGGTTGGTGGGTGGGGGGGGGTTTGGTGGGGGGGGAGGTTTTGGGTGTGGTAGTGGTTGTTTGGTGGTGGGGGGGAGGTGGTGGTGGGTTTTTGGGGTGGGGTGGGTGGTGTGGGTGGGGGGGGGTTGGGGGGGTGGGGGGGGGGGTGGGGGGGTGGTGTTGGGGGGTTTTGTTGGTGGGGGGGTTGGTTAGGGGGTTTTGTGGGGTTTTTTGGGGGGGGATTGGGGGTTGGTGGGTGGGGGGGGGGGGGGTGTTTGGTGTGTGGGGTGTGGGTGGGGGGTGGGGGTTTGGGGGGGTTATGGGGGTGTAGTGAAGGTTTGGGGGTTGGGGGGGAATTGGGGGGTGGGGGGTTGGGTGTGGGTTTTTGTGGTGATATTGTGTGTAGGGGGTGGGTTTGGGGGTGTGGAATGTGGGGGTATGTGTGGGGGGGGGGATGGGTGGGAATGGTTGTTAGGGTTGAATTGGGGGGGGTTTGTGGGGATGGGGGGGGGTTAGGGGGGTTGGGATAGGTGGTTGGGGGTTAATGTGGGGGGGGGGGGGTATTTTGTGGTGAAAGGTGTGTAATGGTGGGTTAATGGGAGGTTGTATGTTGGTGGGATATGGGGGGGGGTTTATGTGGGTGGGTGTAATGGGGTGGGGTTTTTGGTTTTAATTGGTTGTGTATATGTGGTGGTTGGTATATTGGTGTGTGGTATTGTGTGGGAAGTTGGGTATGGGGGTGTTGAATGTGGTGGTGAAGGGTGGTTGATGTGTTGGGTTATGGGGTTGTATTTGTTGGGTTTGGGGGTGGGGGATATGGGTGGGGGTGATTGGTGGGGGTGTGTTGTGGGGGGTAATTGGGGGGTGTATGGATGTTGTATTGGGGGTGAATGGTGGGGTAAGGTGTGAGTGTTTGGTGGGGGTGTTATGTTTGGGTGTGGTGGGTTTTAGGGTGGTGGTAATTGTGTGGGTATGTTGGGGGGGGGTAATTGGGGGGTGGTGATGTTGTGGTTTGTGGGGTTTGGTGGTGGTTAGGTGGGGATAGGGGTGGGGGATTGGGGTATTGGGGGGGGGGGGGGGTGGGGTATTGGGGGGTTATATTTTGGGGGAATGGGTGGGTAGGGGGTGTGGTAATTGTGGTGTTAATGTTGTGTGTATTTGGGTGGTATGTGGTGGGTGGGAAGTGGGGGTGTTGGTGTGTGGTAATTGGGGGGTGGGAATGGGGGTTGAATTGGGGGTGGTGAGTTTGGTGCTGGGGGGGGATAGTGGGGGTTGTGTTGGGTGGGGGTAAGGGGGGGGATATGTGGGGGTTTTTTTGTGGTATGGGGTTGTGTGGGGGTTTGTGGGGGGGATGTTATGGTGGGGGGGGTGGGGGAAGGGGGTGGGAGTGGTGTGGGGTGTTTGGGTGGTTTTGGGTGGGGGGGGGGGGGGTAGAGGTGGTGGGGGGGGGGGGGTGTGGTTTTGTGGGAGTTGTGGTTGTAGGGGGGTGGGAAGGTGGATATTTGTGGTAATTGGTGGATGATTGGGTGTGGGGGTAATTTGGGTTGAATTGGGTATTGGGTTTGGGGTGTCATTTGGTGTGGAAGGGTGTGGTAATGTGGGTGTTTGGGGGGATTGGTGTTAGGGGGTTTTGTGGGTTTTATTTGTGGTAGTTGGGGGGGGGGGGGGTTAGGGGGGGTGTTGTATTGGGTGGTGGAATTTGGGTGGTGGGTGGGGGAATGGGTGGTTTTTTGTGAATGGGGGGGTGGGGGTGGGGTATGGGGGGGGGGGTTATGTTGTGGGGTTTGGGTTGTTGTTGGGGTTATGATTGGGGGTGGGTGGTTGTTTTGGGGGGTATAGGGGGGGGTGGTTTAGGGGGGTATTTGTGGTGGGGGGGGTGGTGGGTGGGTGTGTTTGGGGGGGGGGGGGGGGGGGGGGAAGGGGGTTATGGATTTTGGAGTGTTTGTAGTATGGGAAATGTGTGTTGGGGGGGTATTGGGGGGGGGGGGTGTGGTTTTTGGGTTGTGGTTGGGGTGGGGGGGGGTTTTGGTGGTGTATGGGTGAGGGGTTTGGTGGGTTGGTGTTGGGTTGTGGAGGGGTTGGTTGGGGGTTGTGGAGTGTGGGGGGGTGGGGGGTGGGGGGGTTGGGGGGGGGAGGTAGTGGGGTTTTTGGGGGTGGTTGGGGGGGGATGGGGTGGGGGGGGGGTTTTTGGGGGTGGGTTTGTGAGAGATTAGTATTTGTTGTGTGGGGTGTGGGGGGTGGGGGGGGATATGGGGGTGTATAATTGGTAGTGGAAGTGGGTGTAGGAGGTGAGGGGGGGGGGAGGGGTATGAGAGTTTGGTTTATGTTTTGATGGATATAGGGTGGTGAAAATTGTTGGTATATAAGTGGGTTAGGAGGTTGTTGGGTGGGTGGGGGGGGTTGTGGAAGGTTGGGGGGGGGGGTGGGGGTTGGATAGGTTGGGGGAAGGGGGAGTATGAGTTTAGTTTTGTTAGGGTATAGGGAAATGGGGGGGGATGGGTTGAGGGTGAAGGAGGGGGGGAAGGGGATTAATGGATAGTTTTACGGAAGGGGAAATGATGGGGATGGATGGGATGAGGTATGGGAAGAGAGGGGGGGGGAAGAGAGAGGAGAGAGAGAAAGGGGAAGAGAGAAAGAGAGAGTGAGTTTAGAAGAGGGGGGAAGAGAGGGGGGGGGGGAGGGGAGAGGGGAGAGAGTGGGATAGAGGGGGGGGGAGTGATATAGATGATTGAGAAGGGGAGAGAGAGGGGGGGGAGAGAATGGGGAGAGTATGTGGTAATGAGAGGGGGGGGAGAGAATGGGGGTGAGAGGGGAGAGTGTGTTGATTGATAAGAGTGAGAGGAAGTGGGGGGGGAGAGAGAGGGGGGAGAGGGGGAATAGAGGGGGGGTATGGGAGGGGGGAGTGTGTAGGGGGGAGTGAGGGGGGGGTGAGTGTAGGGGGGGGTGTGGGGTGTGTGGGGGTTGATGGTGTTGGGGGGGGGTATTGTGGGGGGGGGGTGATAGTAGAGGGGATATATTGAGGGGAGAGATATTTGGGTTGTGGGTTGGGGGTGGGGGTTGGTGGGAGGGGGGGGTGTGTGGGAGGGGGGGGGGGGGGGTGGGGGATGGGGATTTTGGTGGTGTTATAGGGGGTTTGGGGGTGGTGTGAGGGGGGTGTGGAAGTTTTGGGTATTGTTTGGGTGTAATGTGTGTTGTGGGGGTAGTGATGGTGGTGTTGGGGGTGTGTGTGGGGTGTGTGTAGGGTGATGGGGGGGTGTGTGATGGTGTGTGTTTGGTGTGTGTGTGTGTTGTGGGGTGAGTAGGTGTGTAAGGTGGTGTGTGTGGTAGTGTGTGTGGGGGTGTGTGGTGTGTGTGGGGGGATGTAGTGTGGGTGTGTGTTGGGAGTGTGTGTGGTGTGTGTGTGGTGATTAGTATGTGGGGGGGTGGTGTGTGTGTTGTGTGTGGGTGAGTGTTGGGTAGTGTGAGGGGGGAGTGTGTGGGTGGTGTAGTGGGGGTGAGTGTGTGGAAGTGTGATGGTGTGTGAGTGGGGATGATTGAGTGTGTTGAGTGTGTGAGGGTGAGTGTGTGGGGGGGTGTGTGTGTAGTGAGGGGGGGTTGATGTGTGTGTGTGTGGGGATGTGTTTGGGGATGTGTGTGTGGGGTAGTTGTGGTTTGTGTGTGTGTTGGGATGAGAGAGGGGGGTATTTGTAGGATGGTGTTGTGTGGGGTGAGAGAGTGTTGTGGTAGTGGTAGTAGTGTGGATGAGTGATGAGGTGATTGTTGAGGGGTTGTGTGTGGGGGTGTGTGTTGTGGGGAGTGTAGTGTGGGGGGTGTGTGTAGGGTGTGTGTGTGGGGGTGTGTGTGTGGGTGTGAGTTGATGATGGTAGGGGTGTGTGTTGGGGGGGTGTGTGTGAGGGGGGTGATGTGTGGTGTGTTGTGGGTAGTATGGTGGTGTGATGAGTGGGGAGAGAGATGTGGGGTGTGTGAATGTGGGGAGTGTTGGGAGTGTAGTGGGGGGGGGATGTGTGTGGGTTGGTATGAGAGGGTAGTGTGTGGGGGGTGTGTGAGTGTGTAGTGGGATGTGTGGTTTTGTAGTGTGGTGTGTGAGGGGGATGTTGATAGGAGTTAGGTTAGTGGGGGGTGTGGGGGTGTATGGGGGTTTGTGTGTTGAATTGGAAATTGTTTTTGGGTGGTGTGGTGGGTGGGGGGGGGGGAGGGATGGTTTGGGGGGGTGGTTGGGTTTTGGGTGGTTAGGGGGGGGTGGGGTGTGGGGGTTATGGGGGGATGTGGGGGGAGGGGTTGGGTGTTGGGTGTTGTGGGGGTAGGTGGGTGTTAGGTGGGTGGGTAGATTTATGGGGGTGGGTGTGTGGTAGTGTGGGGTGGTGGTGGGGGTGGGGTGGTGGGGGGGGGGGGGTGGGGTGTTTGGTAGGGGGGTGGGGTGGGGGGGGGGGTTTGGGGGGAGGGGGTGTGTGGGGTGGGGTTGGGTTGGGGGGAGATGGAAATATCAAAAGTGCGGCGACTTGAACAGAGACAGCTCGATTCAAAGAAGGCCCTGAGTGGTTTAGCCAAGCTTTAAAGAAACTAACAAGAAACGAGTAATATTTACTCACTGGTAAAAATCAGTCTAAATAAACTAGGATTTCTGAAATGAGGTTGAAGGTTGGGTTTACAGCGCGGCGCCTGCAGAGACTGAAATGATGTCATGGTGGATCTGCAGCTCCAGACGTCCTCATCAAACTTCAAATCACTTTAGAGAATCCAGTTTGAGTTTCTTCCTCGCTGTAATTCATGGTTTTATCAGATTAGACTGGATTAGATTAAACTATTGTCGTTGGAATTTGGTGATTGCAGAACAAAAAACAGAAGTGAAATAGCAAAACCATCAGATAATATTTACGACACAGATAAATGCAGATGCAGAAGATAATGCTGCTTTCAGACTCAGCCTCGCTCACCAGACGCACATTCTCTAATTACTGTATCAGACACAGGGGTCTTGAGACCAGAGGTCCTGGCACACGCCGGAAGTGGCGGAAGTAGCCGGCGGGCTTTGATGCTAACAGAGTTTAGCTAGCGGCTTCTCGTGTAAAGATCTTCTCCAATAATGCAGCAGCAGCGTCTAAGTAAGTAATCTTTATTTATATACCGCCTTTCAAAGACCAGAGTCAAAGTGGTTTACAATTGTTATTTCTGGGCATAAGTCTCTCACTCCACACAGAGATGGGAGCGGGGTCGCCGAACAGGAGGCACATGCCAGAACTATTGTACATATTTTTAGTGTTAGGGGAAACCGGAATACCCGGAGGAAACCTACGCGGACACGGGGAGAATATGCAAACTCCACTCAGAAAGGCCCTGGTCCGACCAGGATTCGAACCCAGGACCTTCTTGCTGAGAGGCGAGAGTGCTATCCACTCAGCCACCTCTGAGTGTCTCTGTGTCTGAGACCTTCACAGACTTTATATAACAGCAGTATGTGTTCACGGAGGTAACTTTATATAACAGCAGTATGTGTTCACGGAGGTGACTTTATATAACAGCAGTATGTGTTCATGGAGGTGACTTTATATAACAGCAGTATGTGTTCACGGAGGTGGCTTTATATAACAGCAGTATGTGTTCACGGAGGTGACTTTATATAACAGCAGTATGTGTTCACTGTGACTTTATATAACAGCAGTATGTGTTCATGGAGGTGACTTTATATAACAGCAGTATGTGTTCACGGAGGTGACTTTATATAACAGCAGTATGTGTTCACGGTGACTTTATATAACAGCAGTATGTGTTCACGGAGGTAACTTTATATAACAGCAGTATGTGTTCATGGAGGTGACTTTATATAACAGCAGTATGTGTTCATGGAGGTGACTTTATATAACAGCAGTGTGTGTTCACGGAGGTGACTTTATATAACAGCAGTATGTGTTCACGGAGGTAACTTTATATAACAGCAGTATGTGTTCACGGTGACTTTATATAACAGCAGTATGTGTTCATGGAGGTGACTTTATATAACAGCAGTATGTGTTCACGGAGGTGACTTTATATAACAGCAGTATGTGTTCATGGAGGTGACTTTATATAACAGCAGTATGTGTTCACTGAGGTGACTTTATATAACAGCAGTATGTGTTCACGGAGGTGACTTTATATAACAGTAGTATGTGTTCATGGAGGTGACTTTATATAACAGCAGTATGTGTTCACTGAGGTGACTTTATATAACAGCAGTATGTGTTCACGGAGGTGACTTTATATAACAGCAGTATGTGTTCACGGAGGTGCACCATAAGTTTATTTTATTATTAAACGGTATTTCCGCATCGCCGAACACGCTCGAAGCAGTTGCATAAGGTTTATAAGAGTCTCCCATTGTCAACCCTGGTTTTAAGTCGAGGTATAGCTCCTGTTTCTACTGTTTACAGTATGTTCAGTCTGCTCGCTCAGACACTAATGTCCCGTGACCACTTTGCAGCTCTCTGATTGGTCGCTGCAAAAGTCCCGAGGAAAGGTTGAGCAAAATTCATCTCCTGCGTGCGTCGATTTTCCGCTCCTGCTCCTCCCCTTCGACTTTCCTGAGCAGTCCGTGGGTCTCTACAGAACAGTCCGTGGGTCTCTACAGAACAGTCCGTGGGTCTCTACAGAACAGTTCGTGGGTCTCTACAGAACAGTCCGTGGGTCTCTCCAGAACAGTCCGTGGGTCTCTACAGAACAGTCCGTGGGTCTCTACAGAACAGTCCGTGGGTCTCTACAGAACAGTCCGTGGGTCTCTACAGAACAGTCCGTGGGTCTCTACAGAACAGTCCGTGGGTCTCTACAGAACAGTCCGTGGGTCTCTACAGAACAGTTCGTGGGTCTCTACAGAACAGTCCGTGGGTCTCTACAGAACAGTCCGTGGGTCTCTACAGAACAGTTCGTGGGTCTCTACAGAACAGTCCGTGGGTCTCTACAGAACAGTCCGTGGGTCTCTACAGAACAGTCCGTGGGTCTCTCCAGAACAGTCCGTGGGTCTCTACAGAACAGTCCGTGTGTCTCTACAGAACAGTTCGTGGGTCTCTACAGAACAGTCCGTGGGTCTCTGGATCTCTGTGTTGTTGTTATGTATTTGTATTAATCAGATTTGTACAAAACTTTACTAAAGAAAACGTCTCCTGTGTTTTATATATTCATAAATGTCACTTTTTGTTCCACTTGTGTCCAGTTGTGGGTGGACCGGTGTCAAACCCACAGATGGTTGTGTGTCCAGTGTGGACCGGTGTCAAACCCACAGATGGTTGTGTGTCCAGTGTGGACCGGTGTCAAACCCACAGATGGTTGTGTGTCTTTTCCACTGAGACCATTTTGTTTTTGGGAAACATTTCGGTGTCGATCTGAGATTGTGCGTTCGGTAAATGTCAAACAGTGAAAGTCATTATGTGTCGTGTGTTGCATTCAGAAAAGGTCACAACTGCAAAGAGTGTGTGTGTGTCTATTTATGTTTGTGTGTGTGTGTGTCAATGCGTTCGTGTGTGAGTGTATATATGTGTGTGTGTGTGTGAGTGTGTGTGTGTGTGTGTCAATGCGTTCGTGTGTGTGTGTGTGTGTGTGTGTGTGTGGCCTGAGGTGTATTCTGATACATACACACACAATAAAATGGCGAGGCAAGTTTATTTGTATGCAAAGTTTATACACAGTCTGTCTCACATTTTCAGGAAGATTTTGAACATGTCTGCAGTAGATTGATGGTTTTAATGTGACAGATGCTGATGGTGCGGAGGGAGGTGTGTGTCCTTCACTCTGCTCCTCCTCCTGTCCTTGACCTCTGCCTCTCACAGCTCTCTCTGGTCTCTGTCTGGTCTCTCTCTGGTCTCTCTCTGGTCTCTGTCTGGTCTCTCTCTGGTCTCTCTCTGGTCTCTCTCTCTGGTCTCTCTCTGGTCTCTCTCTCTGGTCTCTGTCTGGTCTCTCTCTCTGGTCTCTGTCTGGTCTCTCTCTCTGGTCTCTGTCTGGTCTCTCTGGTCTCTCTCTGGTCTCTCTCTGGTCTCTCTCTGGTCTCTCTCTGGTCTATCTCTGGTCTATCTCTGGTCTCTCTCTCTCCTCTCTCTCTCTCTATCATCTCTCTCCTCTCTCTCTCTCTATCATCTCTCTCCTCTCTCTCTCTCTATCATCTCTCTCCTCTCTCTCTCTCTATCATCTCTCTCCTCTCTCTCTCTCTCTCTCTCTCTCACTAACATCTCTCCCTTCTCAGGAGCATGGTGTGTCATTGCACCACTGATGAAATGTCAGTGTCAGATATAGAGGACTCACTGATGTCTCTGTGTGTGTGTGTGTGTGTGTGTGTGTGTGTGTGTGTGTGTGTGTGTGTGTGTGTGTGTGTGTGTGTGTGTGTGTGTGTGTGTGTGTGTGTGTGTGTGTGTGTGTGTGTGTGTGTGTGTGTGTGTGCACTTGTTTTCAACTCCTAGTGGGTTCCATAACCTGAGATTCCACTCACGTCATGGGGACTGGTTTTACGTGGTGGGGCCCGAACACCGGACCCCACTGGTCCAAGCTTAATAATCAATGGGTAATGCTTTTCTAACAGTCCTTATGCAGTCTCTGTAAAAATATGGAAAGGACCCCTGGAGGTTTACTTTCCTGAAAAAAGTGTGTTATGTGTCGGAACCCTGGTGGTGGGTTGCGGGATATCAAGGAGGGGCACACTGGGGCAATTTCAGTCCAGCAGGCTGGAGCCAATCATGGAGCAGCACAACAGAGGAAGTCAGGTGTCAGGCTAGAAAAGGTGCAAGTGTGTGGTTCATTAGGCTGCAAGACATCATGGAGGAGCACACTGAAGCGCACGCTTACAACCCACTGGTAAGTGCTGACTACAAGTCATGACTTCAAATTGTTATATAGAATTTATTACAAATTATTTGTTGTTTGTGCAGCTTAGTCAAGAGTCCCTAATTGATGAAGTCGACTCAGATTCTGACGATTTAACTGTCAAGAAGAAACCTGTAAAAAAGTATGGAAAAAGAAAAATCAAAAACACTTTTCTTCAAGACTCGGAAAGTGACGAACCAAAGGCAAATAAGATTGTTATCATGCAGCTGCAAAAGAAGAAAAATGGGGGCAGGGTTTACAGCAAGAGACACTTCTGCCTCTACTGTTCAATGTCCTGCCACAAAATGTCCCGTCATTTGACTAGAAAACATGGAAATGAAAGTGACGTAGCCAGAGCATTGGCTCTACCTGTGAAATCTAAAGCACGTAAACTTCAGTTTGATTTGATCAGGAATAGTGGAAACCGTGAGCACAATTTTGAGGTTTTAAAGGCCGGCATTGGAACTTTAGTCCCAGCTAAACAGCCAAATTCCCCAGTTAAATCCAGTGAGTTTTTGCACTGTATAGACTGTGGGGCATTGCTTAAGCGAAAGTCGCTGTGGAGGCATGTGGCCAGGTGCCGGCTTTCACAGAAAGATGCCCAGGCTAAACCAGGTAGAAGTAGGGTCCAGTCCCTCTGCTCCCTAGCCCAGCCTGTACCGGAGGGCATCAGCAAAAAGCTGTGGTCTTTAATTTGGGCAATGCATCAGGATGAGGTCACGGGTGTTGTCAAAGCAGAAAAGGGGATTCTGAGACTCGGAGAGCACCTGTACTTAAAACACGGGCATGATAAGACTAAGCATGATTACATTAGGCAGAAAATGAGAGAAGTCGGTAGGTTAATTAACGAAGCAAAAACCGCAGGGAAACTGAAAACAATTAAGGATTTCTTTATTCCTTCCAACTTTAACCATGTGATTGATGCAGTCAGGTCTGTGGCTGGATATGATGAGGAAACAAATCAATACAAGACTCCATCCTTGGCCCTCAAACTCGGCCATAGCCTCAGAAAGCTAGCAGATATTCTTGAATGTGACTCAAAAATGGAGCATTGTGTTGATGAACTATTTATTAAAAACCTCCAACGAAGCCGGCTGCTTTTTGAGAAGAGGTGGGACGTCTGTGTTTCTTCTGCTGCCCTACAGACCCTCCGGCAAGCCAAGTGGAACACTCCGGACCTGCTCCCTCTGACTGAGGACGTTAGAGCCATGCATGCACATATTGAGGTATGTCGACCTGAATATGTGCAAACCCTAATAAGTGAGCCAACGTCTAAGCATTGGTCTAAACTGGCAGTTTTGACTCTTTGTGAGGTCATCATTTTCAATCGAAGAAGGGAAGGTGAGGTTTCAAAGATGCCACTGACAGCCTTTACCTTAAGAAGTAAGACTGGGATCCATTCTGACATTGCTCTGGGACTGTCCCAACTTGAGAAAAAGCTGTGTCAGCATTTTCAACGCATTGAAATTAAAGGGAAAAGAAGTCGGAAAGTGCCGGTTCTTTTGACTCCTGAAATGATTGCTTCGATGGAGGTGCTGGTGGAGAACAGAAGGGCCTGTTCCATCTCTGACCATAACCCATACTTCTTTTCCCGCCCGGGCGCAGACACCCACATCAGGGGATCAGACTCCCTACGCCAGGTAGCCAAAGAATGTGGTGCGGTGCATCCAGAGATGCTATCCTCAACCAAACTTAGAAAGCACATAGCTACTATGTCTACAGTTCTCAATATGAAAGAGAATGAGATGGACATACTTGCCAACTTCCTCGGCCATGACATTCGCATCCACAGGCAATATTACAGACTACCAGAGGGGACACTGGAGCTGGCCAAAATCAGCAAAGTGTTGATGGCCATGGAGCAGGGAAGAGTGACGGAATTCGAAGGAAAGAGCCTCGACCAGATACAAATTGAGCCTGAAGGTAATTCTTGATATTATTAAAATATGTATGATTTTTTTCCCCTAAAGGCCACTTGTATTTTTATTTTCTGTGCGACAGGGAGAGCAGTAGAGATCCTCTCACAAACGGACGGGCTAAAAGAAACTTCAAGCGGAGAACCTTCAACCATTCATCCAGATGCACCCCATGGTAGTGGCAGTGCCCCTTCTGGTAAGTGTACCAGGTGGGGGATTACAGCCAGGCTGCTTGGTCCTCACCCTGGGAGTGTATATTGCTAATATATTTTTATTTCTCTCCCTAGAACGTGTAAGAAAGCCATGGTCTGCATCTGAGGTGAAGGCTGTGGAGAAGACCATGACACCTTTCATACAGACTGGAAAGGTCCCTGGGAAGTCTCACTGCCTGGCCTGCATTAATGCCTCACCAGATGACCTTAGACATCGGACATGGAGTGGCATTAAATTCTATGTCAAAAATAGAATCACTGCAATTCGAAAAAAAAATCTAAAATAAAATTCTTTTAAAATAGTTGTTTGGTTTCTATTGACTGTTTTGTATTACTTAAAGTAGTCCCAGTAAAAAAAGATTATGTCTATGGGTCCCATTCTGAACGGCCCTGTCAAAGGGACCCACCAGGTAACAAAAACGTGTGTGTGTGTGTGTGTGTGTGTGTGTGTGTGTGTGTTGGGTAAATTGGGTAAAATCCTGCACACACACTGAACACAACACACACTGAACACATGACTGTAGAAAGTTGTGAAACTCACTTGATCTTCATGAACTGAGTTATTTTCACTCAGGGGCCACAGTCTCAGGGGCCACAGTCTCAGGGTTCACAGTCTCAGGGTCCACAGTCTCAGGGGCCACAGTCTCAGGGGCCACACTCTCAGGGTCCACAGTCTCAGGGTCCACAGTCTCAGGGGCCACAGTCTCACTGTCCACACACTCAGGGTCCACAGTCTCAGGGTCCACAGTCTCAGGGGCCACAGTCTCAGGGGCCACAGTCTCACTGTCCACAGTCTCAGGGTCCACAGGGGCCACAGTCTCACGGTCCACAGGGTCCACAGTCTCAGGGTCCTTAGGGTCCACAGTCTCAGGGTCCACAGTCTCAGGGGCCACAGTCTCAGGGTCCACAGTCTCAGGGTCCACAGTCTCAGGGGCCACAGTCTCACTGTCTACACACTCAGGGTCCACAGTCTCAGGGTCCACAGTCTCAGGGGCCACAGTCTCAGGGGCCACAGTCTCACTGTCCACAGTCTCAGGGTCCACAGGGGCCACAGTCTCACGGTCCACAGGGTCCACAGTCTCAGGGTCCTTAGGGTCCACAGTCTCAGGGTCCACAGTCTCAGGGGCCACAGTCTCAGGGTCCACAGGGTCCACAGTCTCAGGGGCCACAGTCTCACGGTCCACAGGGTCCACAGTCTCAGGGTCCTCAGGGTCCACAGTCTCAGGGTCCACAGTCTCAGGGGCCACAGTAGATTCCTACATTGATTATACGGCAACAAGCGTTTAGTGATAGATGGTGATGATTGCACTATATTTATTCATGACCACACCCACAGAGAGGAGGGGGGAGAGAGGGGGGAGAGGGGAGAGGGGGGGGGGGGGGGATGGGAGGGGAGAGAGAGTCCCTCATGAATACAGTACATGAATTAGATTTGAAGCTGTCAGTTTGTTGGTGACCACGCCCTGGTTCACAGCTGTCCATTAACACACTCCATCCTCTGGGACCAGGGGCAGGGTCAGGGAAGAGATGAGGGGGAGAGAGGAGGGGGAGAGAGGAGGGGGAGAGAGGTGGGGGAGAGAGGAGGGGGAGAGAGGTGGGGGAGAGAGGAGGGGGAGAGAGGTGGGGGAGAGAGGAGGGATGAGAGAGGAGGGGGAGAGAGGAGGGGGAGAGAGGAGGGGGAGAGAGGTGGGGGAGAGAGGAGGGGGAGTGAGGAGGGGGAGAGAGGAGGGGGAGAGAGGAGGGGGAGAGAGGTGGGGGAGAGAGGAGGGGGAGAGAGGTGGGGGAGAGAGGAGGGATGAGAGAGGAGGGGGGAGAGAGGAGGGGGAGAGAGGTGGGGGAGAGAGGAGGGATGAGAGGGGAGGAGGGGGGGGAGAGAGGAGGGGGAGAGAGGAGGGGGAGAGAGGTGGGGGAGAGAGGAGGGGGAGAGAGGAGGGATGAGAGAGGAGGGGGAGAGAGGTGGGGGAGAGAGGAGGGGGAGTGAGGAGGGGGAGAGAGGAGGGGGAGAGAGGAGGGGGAGAGAGGTGGGGGAGAGAGGAGGGGGAGAGAGGTGGGGGAGAGAGGAGGGATGAGAGAGGAGGGGGAGAGAGGAGGGGGAGAGAGGTGGGGGAGAGAGGAGGGATGAGAGAGGAGGGGGAGAGAGGAGGGGGAGAGAGGAGGGGGAGAGAGGAGGGGGAGAGAGGTGGGGGAGAGAGGAGGGGGAGTGAGGACGAGGGAGAGGACGGGGGTAGAAGAGGTGAGACGGATGATGCACTCAGAAGCCAGACCATCTCACACACACACACACACAGGTTTAATGTCTTACAGGGATATGACACTCCTCAGTCATGTGACCTCCCCTTTCTCTGTGATTGGCTCAAATAATATAAAATTGTGTGTGTTTTGTATTCATCCCCCCACTGTCCACATGAAGGGTACAGACCTGGTCCTGGTCCAAGCTTCAAACCTGCACCTCTCATTAGATCAGACTGGAGCAGATTGGAGTCCCCGTAAGTCACGTTAAACACGCACACACAGAAGCCAGTGTTGGGGTCATTAACATTCATTCATCAGGAGCAGGACCATAGAATATAGATCCAGTCATTTGGACGGTTCTTAAAGCGTTTTCCTGCATCGTAATGTGGCGTTTACCTCCAGCTGAGCTCCCTCTGATCAGACTGTTCTGGGTTTTACATCTGATAAATACAAAACACACACACGGCCTGATGGTGGGTGGAATTATAATGTATTTGGAGACTGTACCAAAACTGCTAATTTGAGTTTATACATTTGTCACATCACCAAAAAAGAAGGAGGAGCAATTAGTGTTTGACTGAAGAAGGAGTGATATTGCAGTGAAGTTCAGGACTGGGTTTAAGAACTGAATATTGACAAAAGCAAAGATTCATTGAGATATAAAAGGAGTCACTGAGATGCTAACGAGATGCTAACAAGATGCTAACAGGATTGATTTATTGACACTGATGGAGAAGGATCTAGCCTGGCCTTATCCATCCGTAAACTCTGCTCAATCATCATGTCCTTCATGTAACGTCTGGGTCTGGTCCCTGTGTCTGTGATTACAATCAGTTGAATTCCATCCAACCAATCAGAGAGCGCGGGAGGCGGGTGTTGATGTGGGTGACGTCAAGAGTTTTCGTTGAACGGGAAGGTTGTAGTTTGGCGAAGAATACAATAATAAACTAATCTGGTCTGGTTCTATCAAGAAATTGAAGCTGGAGCAAGAAGAATGTTTAGCAAATGTAATCGCTGCAAAAATTGTGGCGAAGGAGATGGCTAAAGCTAGGCTAAATGCTAAATGCTAACATCTCACTCGGGCGCATTACATACGCCACAGTGAACTCAGATCCAATGGTTTCAATCTGCAAAAGGAGTTAGCCCCTCCCACCTGTTCACGGAGTCAATGGAGCAAATCCAGACCTTAGTACGAAATGAAATGTGTACTGTGGTGTGGTAAGACCAGGCTAAGAAGGATCTGTTGTAGGGCTAAAATATTGGAACAAATATGTTACGGGACATTTTCAAGGAGATGTGTAAAATAATATACACAAAGGTACAACACATTTTAAAGCTGGGGTACACTACTTCTTAAATGTATTTTAAAAACGTACATATTAGGTTTATCTCTCTAAGTTAGACAATAAACACAGAACATAGGAATTAGGATTAAACGACTACACACTGTCTCGGCCAGATTATATGTAATTAAATGTTGAGAGAGATTTTGAAGTTCTAAAATTGCGATAATGTCGTAATTGTTGATGGAGATTGTGACAGATGCAGGAAAGACTTTGTAGATTCACTTCTATATTTGAAAATCAGGAACCAACGTCATCCGTTACAGAGGCAGAGGCTGAGGATGTTGGGGCAGATACTTCCATCTCCCTGGCTGAGGTGGTTGGCAGCCTCCATGGTGGCAAGGCTCCGGGAGTGGATGAGATCCGTCCTGACTATCTAAAGTCTCTGGATGTTGTAGGACTGTCTTGGCTGACACGTCTCTGCAACATCGCGCGGTGATCGGGGGCAGTGCCAATGGAGTGGCAGACCGGGGTGGTGGTCCCTCTCTACAAGAAGGGGGACCGGAGGGTGTGTTCCAATTATCGTGGGATCACACTCCTCAGCCTCCCCGGTAAGGTCTACTCCAAGGTACTGGAGAGGAGGTTACGGCCGATGGTCGAATCTCGGATTCAGGAGGAGCAGCGTGGTTTTCGTCCCGGCGGCGGAACACTGGACCAGCTCTATACTCTCCATCGGATACTCGAGGGTTCATGGGAGTTCGCGCAACCTGTCCACATGTGCTTTGTGGATATGGAGAAGGCATTCGACCGTCTTCCCCGGGGTGTCCTTTGGGGGGTTCTCCGGGAGTACGGGGTCCTCTGCTGAGGGCCGTCCGGTCGCTGTATGACCGGAGCCAGAGCTGCGTGCGCATTGCCGGCAGTAAGTCAGACCTGTTCCCGGTGAATGTTGGCCTCCGACAGGGCTGCCCTTTGTCACCGGTTCTGTTCACTGTATTCATGGACAGAATTTCTATGCGCAGCCAGGGACCGGAGGGGGTCCGGTTCGGGGACCACAGGATTTCATCTCTACTTTTTGCGGATGATGTCGTCCTGCTGGCTCCAACGAACCAGGACCTGCAGCATGCACTGGGACGGTTTGCAGCCGAGTGTGAAGCGGCTGGGATGAGAATCAGCACCTCCAAATCTGAGGCCATGGTGCTCAACCGGAAAAAGGTGCCTTGCCCTCTGCAGGTGGGTGGAGAGGTCCTTCCTCAAGTGGAGGAGTTCAAGTATCTCGGGGTCTTGTTCACGAGTGAGGGAAGAATGGAGCGTGAGATTGACAGGCGGATCGGTGCAGCGGTCGCTGTATCGAACCGTTGTGGTAAAGAGGGAGCTGAGCCGAAAGGCAAAGCTCTCTATTTACCGGTCAATCTTCATTCCCTCCCTCACCTATGGTCATGAGGGAGCAGCGTCTGCAGTCAGAGCTCCCTCACCTATGGTCATGAGCTTTGGGTAATGACCGAAAGAACGAGATCGCGGATACAAGCGGTCAAAATGAGCTTCCTCCACAGAGTGGCTGCTCCCTTAGAGATAGGGTGAGGAGCTCAGTCACACTGGAGGAGCTCGGAGTAGAGCCGCTGCTACTTCGCGTCAAGAGGAACCAGTTGAGGTGGCTCGGGCATCTGTTCCAGATGCCTCCTGGACGCCTCCCTGGCAAGGTGTTCCGGGCACGTCCCACCGGGAGGAGGCCCCTGGAAAGACCCAGGACACGCTGGAGGGACTATGTCTCTCAGCTGACCTGGGAACGCCTTGGGGTCCCCCCGGACGAGCAGGAGGAGGTGTGTGTGGATAGGGAAGTCTGGGCGTCTCTGCTTAGACTGCTGCCCCCGCAACCCGGCAACGGATGAAGCGGAAGACAATGGATGGATGGATGGATGGAACCAACGATTCAATTCTTTTCAATGCATTTGTGTAAAATCACAGCAGTAGGTATTTCTGAGGACTTTACGAAGCTGTCGATTGGCCCACGGCAGATCAGAGAATCAACCTCAATAATAACAAACATGTTAAAGGTCCCACACTACGCTTTTTAACATCATCACAGAGTTGTTTCTATTTAAAATTATTTCAAAATAATGTTGTCAAAATTAGGGAAAACAAAACACAATTAATTTGCTGTTTGTTGTAAAAATAATAATAAGAATAAGAATAGAGGAGCAGAGAGAAGCAGGAAAGATTTTATTCCTTGTTTTGTCGTTAATGATTTGAGAATCATAACGAGACCTTTTTTAAATTCTGCGCCACATGGTACTTTACCAGTGAGATTAGCTCCACGTGGTGAGTTCTGGCGCCCGGATCACAGACTTTCTGATTGGTGAAACGGTGGAGGGCGGTACATCAAAATGAAAACAATTTAGAAATTCAAATATCTCTGAACTTCTGTTATCAGTTAAAAAAATCTTGGAAAAGAGCATGTTTCATTAATGCCTTTTGACAGATTAGGGCCCTTTAATGATGACGGATTAGGGCCCTTTAATAATGACAGATTAAGGCCCTTTAATGATGACAGATTAGGGCCCTTTAATGATGACAGATTAGGGCCCTTTAATGATGACAGATTAGGGCCCTTTAATGATGACAGATTGGGGCCCTTTAATGATGACAGATTGGGACCCTTTAATGATGACAGATTGGGGCCCTTTAATGATGACAGATTAGGGCCCTTTAATGATGACAGATTAGGGCCCTTTAATGATGACAGATAAGGACCCTTTAATGATGACAGATTAGGACCCTTTAATGATGACAGATTAGGACCCTTTAATGATGACAGATAAGGGCCCTTTAATGATGACAGATTAGGGCCCTTTAATGATGACAGATTAGGGCCCTTTAATGATGACAGATTAGGGCCCTTTAATGATGACAGATTAGGGCCATTTAATGATGACAGATTAGGACCCTTTGATGATGACAGATTAGGGCCCTTTAATGATGACAGATTAGGGCCCTTTAATGACGACAGATTAGGGCCCTTTAATGATGACAGATTAGGGCCCTTTAATGATTGGGAAATATTTCAATTTCACATAATTGGTCAAAATTAAGGGGAAATTAAATAATGTGGGGTTTTTTTGCTCTCGGTAAATTTTCTTTGATTTGAATGACTTTGCTTTAATACCAACAGCTGCAAAGTTTCATGTTTTTTTCAGTTTCAGCTGGAAGTGTGCCATAAGATATAATGATAATAATAATAATAATTAAATAAATACATGAAATAATAATTTAATTTTTATCTTTTATAAAAAAAAATATTTCTGGATGTTTATTTTATTTTTTGTAGATTATTATTTATTCTGGATCATCTGATGTGTGTGTATATGGGTGTATCAGTGTGTGAGGGAGGGGTTGGGTTAAGGGGGGACTGAAGGGAGGGAGGGATTAGGATAATTTTTTTCTCCTCTTTTTGTTTAATATGTTTTTATGAGACAAACAAAAATGCCAAATTAATACCATTTAAAAACAATAGTTGTGCCTTGGCTGAAAAAAGGTTGGGAACCACTGCTTCACACAGATCTCCAGGCCTTTGCCTCCAACACACACCATAAACCGGTTCCTTGGTGACGAAGGCCAAACAGCAGCGTCTGTAACATGAGCCGCTGTTGCTACGACTACAGCGGTGGGAGAAGGATCTAAACCACGGCTGAGATGAAGACCTCGGCACAGACCGGAGCCACGAGGGGTCCTGGGGCTCTGCAGGTAGGCCCCTCGGTGCTCACCCTAATGGCTGCTCCAAAATACAAAAGATAATGATTGAGTCTGTGTAAGAGCAGTGCCTGGCAACCATCAAGAGAATCAGCGTCTCCTGGTGTCGCGGGCAAGAGAGAGAATGTGGGGAGAGAAAGGAGAAAACAGTCGTGTGTTTTGAAAGGGAATGAAAGAGAGAGAGGAGAGAGGGGGAGAGAGAGGAGAGAGAGGGGGAGAGAGAGGAGAGAGGAGGGGGAGAGAGAGGAGAGAGAGGGGGAGAGAGAGGAGAGAGGAGGGGGAGAGAGGGGGAGAGAGAGGAGAGAGAGAGGGGGAGAGAGAGGAGAGAGGAGGAGAGAGGAGGGGGAGAGAGAGGAGAGAGGGGGAGAGAGAGGGGGAGAGAGGAGGAGAGAGGAGGAGAGAGGAGGGGGAGAGAGGGGGAGAGAGAAGGCAGAGGTCAGGGTGGAATGAGAGAGGTTGGATTTGTGTGGGAGAAGAAAGGGGTTCAGGTGTGTGTGTAAGTAATGTTTATTTATATAGCACATGTTACAGACCCAAAGGTACAGACCCAAAGGTACAGACCAAGGTACAGACCCAAAGCACTTTCCAATGTTCAGAGTCAGATATTGTTCCAATCCTTCCACACACGGTGATGACAGAAGCGAGTCCAGAACACACTGGACCATCAAAGCCTCTGACCCAACACCATCCATTCACTCTCTCATTTACATTCAGACCTATTGTGCATGTTTTTAGTGGTAGGGGAAACCGGAGCACCCGGAGGAAACCTACACAGACACGGGGAGAACATGCAAACTTCACTCAGAAAGGCCCTGGTCCGACCAAGATTCGAACCCAGAACCTTCTTGCTGAGAAGCGAGAGTGCTAACCACTCAGCCACCGTGCCGCCCACAGTGGCTGAGTGGGGATCCAAATAGGAATATTAAAAATATCTTAAATCTGCACTAACTGACTTTATTTTTGTATTCATGAGTTAAACCCAAAAAAAAAATGCAGTGCTTTGGGATAAACGTCCTTTTGAAGAATAAGTAGCGCAGATTTGTGCTGACGTGACATTTTATTTTAGATCGAGTTTTGGTCCAACAAGGAAGAGAATGTGTTTGGGACCAGATTGTGACCAATCACAGCGGACCACTGGCCCCCACTTTCTTGAGAAAAGCCACAGGTCTGTGGTTAGCACAGACAGCTGAGGTAAACAAGCGGCGGAGGCTAACCTGAAACTTCTGTGTCTTTGTTTCCGGTTACTGCTTACTCAGAGAAACAGACAAAAGAAAGTCTCGTTCCTCCGTCTTCATTTCTCGACACATAAACACAAACCTTTTACAGCGGACAGTAACGGAGTGTTCTCTGCTGCAGGAGGACGGCTGCAGTCTGCCTTCCCATGATGCACTGGCTCAGATTCTGCCTTCCCATGATGCACTGGCTCCGATTCTGCCTTCCCATGATGCACTGGCTCCGATTCTGCCTTCCCATGATGCATTGGCTCAGATTCTGCCTCGTCACCCTCAGAAGCAGCAGAGGTCAGCGGCTCACTCAGACGCTCAGGTGAGAGACTGATGCACTGTATGTGAGGACAGTATGAGAACACAGGTACAGGTGTAAAAGGTACAGTTTCACACCTGTGCTAATAAAGTTTAAATGACCGGAGGAGAACAGAGAATAGAATAAAGCAGCTCTGTTTGTTACAAGTCTTTCCAAAATACATCTGTGACATGTTAGTGCCATATGAACCAACTCTGAGGAGCACAGGGACTGGCCTCCTGCTGGGACTCTGAGGAGCACAGGGACTGGCCTCCTGCTGGGACTCTGAGGAGCACAGGGACTGGCCTCCTGCTGGGACTCTGAGGAGCACAGGGACTGGCCTCCTGCTGGGACTCTGAGGAGCACAGGGACTGGCCTCCTCCTGGGACTCTGAGGAGCACAGGGACTGGTCTCCTGCTGGGACTCTGAGGAGCACAGGGACTGGCCTCCTGCTGGGACTCTGAGGAGCACAGGGACTGGCCTCCTGCTGAGACTCTGAGGAGCACAGGGACTGGTCTCCTGCTGAGACTCTGAGGAGCACAGGGACTGGCCTCCTGCTGGGACTCTGAGGAGCACAGGGACTGGCCTCCTGCTGGTCCCAGAGTCAGGTCTAAACATGAGGAGGCAGTGTTTCAGATTCACGCAGCTAAAGTATAACAATCTTCCTGAAAATGTGAGACAAGTGTCTTCTCGATGTAAAAATCCAGGTTAAAACAGTTTCTGCAACAAGTTTTTTATCTTCTCTTTTTAATGTATTTCCTAGTTATTTCTTGCATTGTGGGATTGTTAACTCATTGGCTGTCAGTCGTTTTGGATGATTTCACTGATTTTGAAGACCCACAGAATATTATTTCCTAAGATTATGTGAAATATGAAACCAGATTCTGAAACACTGGATTGTCTTCTTTGATCAGCAAAAATAAGTTCGTTTTTAGCTATTTTAATTGTCCTGTAAACCTCAGTCGAACAGAGGGTCTCAGACAAATACGTCGATCTAGTTTTCCTCCGCACTCTGACTTTCCCTGTGTGTAAACTGTGCTATACAAATAACCTGCTGCTTTAAAGGAATCCCACCACTTGAGCAAAAACCACTGAAACTGCAGTAGAATCGAGTCTCGGTCTGATTAGGATCCGTCACATCCACAGACAGAAGGTGAGGATGCAGAGGATGTCGCTCCCATTGTGCCTTTGTGCCTCTGGGCCCCACACCTCATCTCCATCATGACTGCCCCGGCCCTGCCCTTTCTATTACACGCTCAATTTCACCCCGAGTCCCCTGGGAGCCCCCGCCTCAGCAGCAGAGGAGGCCCCGCCCACTCTCTGTAGGCCCCTCCCACTCTCAGTCTGTGGAGATGGAAGCAGTCAGGCTTTTTATCTGTGTTTTATGTTTTATGAAAGTGACTCAGTGAGATTAGATTTAGTTCCGCTCCACCACCCCTGCTGCTGTCTCTCTCTCTCTGTGTGTGTCTTTCTCGCTCTTTCTCTCTCTCTCTCTCTCTCTCTCTCTCTCTCTCTCTCTCTCTTGATCAAGCTGTTTGAACCTGTCAGTCCTACAAGTGAAAACCTGAGAGTTCCAACAAACAGCTTCATTCAGACACATGTGCAGCACTGGGGAGCCCCCTGCTGGTGGAACTGCAGACTGAGGTTTTATGATAAAGATCATTTAACTCATAATTCAAGTCAATTGAATGTGGGATGAACACTGTCCTGAAATGTCCATAAATCACTGACCTTAGACCCTCCTGCATCAGAGAGGAACGAAGCTTAAATGTTAGAAACCTCGGTGTAGTCTGTGCTACAGTAATTTCATAAAGTTAAATAAGTTAATTGGCGTTGATCTATTGGACACAATTCACGTAACTTTGTCCAAAACACTCACTTTAAAAGAGAAGAATACATTGGAATACTTCAATTATAGACGTGTTTAAGTGTGATTTAATGTTTATTTTCTTATTTCGCGACATTGTGCTATATAAATAAACTTACTTCCATCCCTCTCCTCGTGTCTCCTCCTCCCTGTGTGCAGGAGGTGCAGCAGCAGGAGGTGCAGCAGCAGGAGGAGAAGCAGCAGGAGGTGCAGCAGTATCGTGATGCCATGAGGAGGATGGCAGCAGACATCATTTCCTTGCGCAGACACGTGGTGGCGCTGCATACCGAGAACAGCCGTCTGCGCGCGCACCGTGAAGACCCGGGGCAGGATTTCCTCCGGGACTCGGACCTGGACGTGATGACGAAGGCAGAGATGGCCGACCGCATTGGTAAACAGATATTTAAATACAGCACAACACAACATCAGAGAATGTGTAGAACTTTGAACATATTGTTCTTTAGAGAAATAAAAGTGTTTGGTGCTGGTCACAGTTTGACTCTCAGCCCAGAGTCAAATTGTGACTCATCTAAATCCTGGTCTCTCTCTCTCTGTTCTCTCTGTTCTCTCTCTGGGCACTCTTTTGAATCTCTCTTTTTCTCTGTCTCTGGTCTCTCTTTCTCTCGCTCTCTCTGGTCCCTCTCTTTTGACGCTCTCTCTTTTCTCTGGTCTCTCTTTTGTCTCTCTCTCTCTCTGGTCTCTCTCTCTCTCTGGTCCCTCTCTCTTTTGTCTCTCTCTCTCTCTGGTCTCTCTTTCGTCTCTCTCTCTCTCTCTCTCTGGTCCCTCTCTTTTGACGCTCTCTCTTTTCTCCGGTCTCTCTCTCTTGTCTCTCTCTTTTGTCTCTCTCTCTCTGGTCTCTCTTTCTCTTTTGTCTCTCTCTCTCTCTGGTCTCTCCCTCTGGTCTCTCTCTTTTGTCTCTCTCTCTCTCTCTCTCTCTGGTCTCTCTTTCTCTTTTGTCTCTCTCTCTCTAGTCTCTCTTTTGTCTCTCTCTCTCTAGTCTCTCTCTTTTGTCTCTCTCTCTCTCTCTGGTCTCTCTCTTTTGTTTCTCTCACTATATTTACAAAAACTTTTCGATTCTTCGAGATTCCGACTTTTATCCGAATCCTTTCTCTCATTGCTGGTGGTTCAGTAAAAACTAATTTCACTGTTTGATAATTCTTTGAGTTTCTCTCACAGTGAGTTTTAAAGCAGAGTTTGTAAATCCTTGGCACAGACTGTGGCGCTGGTGATAAAGGTTCATGGTTATAGAAGTCTAATCTACTGAAGGACAGTGGGCGACCTCGGCTGTCACACACACACAGACACACACAGACACACACAGAGACACACACACATGCACACACACGCACAGACACACACAGAGACACACACATACGCACACACACACACACAGAGAGAGACACAGACACACACAGACACACACACAGAGAGAGAGACACACACACAGACACACACTCGTCTGCAGGAGATAAATCCACAAATGTCTGATAAACCCTCTTTTTGTCCAGTTTCTCTCTCGCAGAGTTTATCCAGAGAGCGGGTCCAGAGAGTCCAGAGAGCGGGTCCAGAGAGTCCAGAGAGCGGGTCCAGAGAGTCCAGAGAGCGGGTCCAGAGAGTCCAGAGAGCGGGTCCAGAGAGTCCAGAGAGCGGGTCCAGAGAGTCCAGAGAGCGAGTCCAGAGAGTCCAGAGAGCGGGTCCAGAGAGTCCAGAGAGCGAGTCCAGAGAGTCCAGAGAGCGGGTCCAGAGAGTCCAGAGAGCGGGTCCAGAGAGTCCAGAGAGTAGGTCCAGAGAGTAGGTCCAGAGAGTAGGTCCAGAGAGTCCAGAGAGTAGGTCCAGAGAGCGGGTCCAGAGAGTCCAGAGCAGATCCAGAGCCACAGGACCCAGCAGTTTCATGGCAGGATCCAGGAGGAGGGAGTAATGACCCAAAATCAATACATCACATGAAATTGGGTCCAGCCCTCCATAATACGGCGATATCCCAACCTGGCGCCCTGAAGAAAACCATGGCCCACCCCTGAGCTGGACCGGACAGGTCCACTTGGTGTGGACTGGTTTTGTTTTTACCTGCTTTTATTTTGACATATATTTGTTCTCTTGTGAGTTCTACTTCCTGTCTCCCTCTGTGTATTTAGACCCGGTGTCCTCTTTTTCTTGTGCCATTTATTAAATTATGCTATTTTTGCAATTTTGGGTCCTTCCTTGTTTATCCTTAACTATACTGTGCAAAAGAACAAAAAATACACAAAAAAAACAAAATCAGTTCTAGTTGCGAGACAGAAGACAGAATTCCAAATGACACCAGGCCTAATTATTATTATTATTATTATTTAAGCTAAAAGTACAGTGTTCTGAGGTGAAATACAGTCCATTACCGAAGTCAACGAAGTCTTAACTTTTGTGACCAGAGAAAAGAGACGGCGTCGCTCAGAGAGAAATCAGATTTATTGGAACAAAAACGCCACATTCTGGAAAAACAGGAAGAAAAAAAAAAGTGTGTGTCCTGACAATAAATGACTGTTGTTTTCCTAATAAGTCTTGCTTTGTGGCATGATGGTCGTGTGTTCGATTCCCCGCATGAGACCTTCTCCACCTGCTCCCACTGATGACTGCTGTCGTTGTGTCCTTGGGCAAGACACTTAACCCAACTTTGCCTGAATCCCCCACTGAAAGACTAAGGTTGTGTTGTCATGGAGAGAGCAGTTTGCTACTTGACCCAGAGAGTCCAGAGAGAGAGACCAGAGAGAGAGGCCAGAGAGAGAGGCCAGAGAGAGAGTCCAGAGAGAGAGGCCAGAGAGAGAGGCCAGAGAGAGAGGCCAGAGAGAGAGTCCAGAGAGAGAGGCCAGAGAGAGAGACCAGAGAGAGAGACCAGAGAGAGAGAGAGACCAGAGAGAGAGGCCAGAGAGAGAGACCAGAGAGAGAGGCCAGAGAGAGAGGCCAGAGAGAGGCCAGAGAGAGAGACCAGAGAGAGAGGCCAGAGAGAGAGGCCAGAGAGAGAGGCCAGAGAGAGAGACCAGAGAGAGGCCAGAGAGAGAGACCAGAGAGAGGCCAGAGAGAGAGACCAGAGAGAGAGGCCAGAGAGAGAGACCAGAGAGAGAGAGGCCAGAGAGAGAGGCCAGAGAGAGAGACCAGAGAGAGAGGTCAGAGAGAGAGACCAGAGAGAGGCCAGAGAGAGAGACCAGAGAGAGAGGCCAGAGAGAGAGGCCAGAGAGAGAGAGGCCAGAGAGAGAGAGGCCAGAGAGAGAGACCAGAGAGAGAGACCAGAGAGAGAGACCAGAGAGAGGCCAGAGAGAGGCCAGAGAGAGAGACCAGAGAGAGAGACCAGAGAGAGAGGCCAGAGAGAGAGGCCAGAGAGAGAGGCCAGAGAGAGAGAGGCCAGAGAGAGAGACCAGAGAGAGAGGCCAGAGAGAGAGAGGCCAGAGAGAGAGACCAGAGAGAGAGGCCAGAGAGAGAGACCAGAGAGAGGCCAGAGAGAGAGGCCAGAGAGAGAGACCAGAGAGAGGCCAGAGAGAGAGACCAGAGAGAGAGACCAGAGAGAGAGGCCAGAGAGAGAGGCCAGAGAGAGAGACCAGAGAGAGAGGCCAGAGAGAGAGAGGCCAGAGAGAGAGACCAGAGAGAGAGGCCAGAAAGAGAGACCAGAGAGCCCACTTTGCCTGAGGCCCCTCAGATCAGGGCTGTGTGGTCATGGACAGAGACCCAGAGATGGGTCAGGGATGAACATGGACAGATGCTTTGTCTGATTCATAAAAAACGAAATGATTACAGCAGTTTACAAACACCTGTAATTAAAAACTTGGTTCATCTCCACATTTTAACATTTGAATTCTGTGTTTAATGAACATCTTTATCCGTGAAGAGGCCTGAGAGTGAAGACGATGGGTTTGTCTGGGACCAGGATCAGCTCAAAAGTGCTTTGTGCCTCGAGGTGACGCTGCTTCTCCACTTTAAAGTTCTCCAGCATCTGAAAGAAATGAGAAAGTGAAAGTATTGGAGATGGAGGAGCACAGGGACTGGACTCCTGCTGGTAAGTCTGAGGAGCACAGGGACGGCCTCCTGCTGGGACTCTGAGGAGCACAGGGACGGCCTCCTGCTGGTAACTCTGAGGAGCACAGGGACTGCCCTCCTGCTGGGACTCTGAGGAGCACAGGGACTGGACTCCTGCTGGTAAGTCTGAGGAGCATAGGGACTGGCCTCCTGCTGGTAAGTCTGAGGAGCACAGGGACGGCCTCCTGCTGGGACTCTGAGGAGCACAGGGACTGGTCTCCTGCTGGTAAGTCTGAGGAGCACAGGGACTGGCCTCCTGCTGGTAAGTCTGAGGAGCACAGGGACGGCCTCCTGCTGGGACTCTGAGGAGCACAGGTACTGGCCTCCTGCTGGGACTCTGAGGAGCACAGGGACTGGCCTCCTGCTGGGACTCTGAGGAGCACAGGGACTGGTCTCCTGCTGGGACTCTGAGGAGCACAGGTACTGGCCTCCTGCTGGGACTCTGAGGAGCACAGGGACTGGCCTCCTGCTGGGACTCTGAGGAGCACAGGGACTGGCCTCCTGCTGGGACTCTGAGGAGCACAGGGACTGGCCTCCTGCAGGTCCCAGAGTCAGGACTAAACATATATTTACCAGTGTAATATTCTGCGATTATTTATGATTTTAATGTCTTCAAAATCCGTCCCTATCTTCTTGTTTTCCTTGTGTATAAACTGTGCCATACAATTAAACGTGCCCAGATCGAGAGTTTCTCACGTGGATGAGGAAGATCTGCATCTCTGTCTCTGCGATCCTTCGTCCCAGACACTGACGGGGCCCGAAGCCGAAGCCCAGACTCCGGAAGTACTGGTTCTCGGTGCGGAGCCAGCGCGACGGCTGGTACTGCTCCGGCCGCGGGAAGACTTTGGGGTCGCGGCCCATCGCGAAGAGTCCCAGCTGCACCAGGGTCTGGACCAGAACACATAAACACAGTCACAGTCTTCAAAGTCGTACGTGCTAATTTATGGAGCGTCAGACTGATTTTCAACTAATATTAGCCTGACGAGCTAGCCATACCAAGCTAGTTTCAGGGCTAATACGCTGGAAAGTCCTGTTGGAATAAATGTAGTTCCAAACCTTTCTGTGCCGAGTGGTCAAAAGAACCAACAATGGAACGACCCACGGCTCATAGTCCGTTACAACTTATTTCATGTTGTGTCAGAATCCAATGATCAATAACATGAAATCATAAATGTTCATTGTTAAACTGAGGCAGAATTGTGCAGCTTCTCTTCTGTGGTCGATGGTTGTCAAAGCAGATGCTAACTTAGCTTGGTCGTACCACACCATAGTACACATTTCATTTGGTACTACGTATGTAATGTGCCCGAGTGAGTCGTTAGCATTTAGCATTTAGCCTAGCTTTAGCCATCTCCTTTGCCGCTAACGGAGCCCATGGGGAGTAGCACCACAATTTTTCCAGCGATTACATTTGTTAAACATTCCTCTTGCTCCGGCTTCAATTTCTTGATAGAACCAGACCAGAATACTTCATTATTGTATTCTTCGTCAAACTACAACCTGTTCGACGCAGACTCTTGACGTCACAAACAACTAACTGCAACACCCGCCTCCCGCGCTCTCTGATTGGTCGGAAGGAATTCAACCGATTGTGATCACAAACACAGGGACCAGACCCAGACGTTACATGCAGGACATGATGATTGAGTGGAGAGTACAGATGGATAAGACCAAGCTAATGCTAACTGTGCGTTGCGGTTTAGCTCCATCAGCCTCCGAGTGTTCATCTCCGCACACCTCCATAAACTCTGCCCTGGGCTCTTACCAAAGGTTCTCTGATCTTACCCCGGCCGGGATGTGGTACTTCTGGATGATGATGTCCTCGGTGATGTACCGCTGCAGACTGACAGCGACCGGGTGCAACCTGCAGGATTCAACAGATTCACTAATGTCTTAGAGATGCAGGTTTTTTTTTAAATATTGTGGGAAACCGTAAAAGTATCAAGTAATCATGTGTTTTCAAATAGTAATGGAACTGACCAGATGTCTATAGTCTACAAAAAATAATAACAAATATTTTGGAGTGGACCGGTGAAAATGAACCAATGGGATTCATTCATCTCCAACGAACCAATGGGATGTGTTTACCCCCTTCAGCCTCTTCCTGTTTCTCAAGAGTGCACCGGAGTTATCGGATTTTAAAATGGCTGAACAGAAAATGCCAATTTCACGTTTGCTTCACTCTCCCTGTGACAAAGAAAAGACAAAGCTGGATGTTTGGTTTGGTGGAGAGGGAGGGAGGGGGGAGTGGTTTGATTTTGAATGATACATGATTCTGGTGCCCAGATCACAGACTTTAAGGCTGGAAAAGTAATTTAGAAATTCAAATATCTCTGAACTACTTTTATCAGTTAAAGAAGTATTGGAAAAAAGCAGTTTATTATTATGACAGATTAGGGCCCTTTAATGATGACAGATTAGGGCCCTTTAATGATGACAGATTAGGGCCCTTTAATGATGACAGAATATGGCCCTTTAATGATGACAGATTAGGGCCCTTTAATGATGATAGATTAGGGCCCTTTAATGATGACAGATTAGAGCCCTTTAATTATGACAGATTAGGGCCCTTTAATGAGGACAGATTATGGCCCTTTAATGATGACAGATTAGGGCCCTTTAATGATGACAGATTGGGGCCTTTTAATGATGACAGATTAGGGCCCTTTAATGATGACAGATTAGGGCCTTTTAATGATGACAGATTAGGGCCCTTTAATTATGACAGATTGGGCCTTTTAATGATGACAGATTAGGGCCCTTTAATTATGACAGATTGGGGCCTTTTAATGATGACAGATTAGGGCCCTTTAATGATGACAGATTAGGGTCTTTTAATGATGACAGATTAGGGCCCTTTAATTATGACAGATTGGGGCCTTTTAATGATGACAGATTAGGGCCCTTTAATTATGGCAGATTAGGGCCTTTTAATGAGGACAGATTAGGGCCCTTTAATAATGACGGATTAGGGTCCTTTAATTATGACAGATTAATCAATCAATCAATCAAATTTTATTTATAAAGCGCTTTTCATACAAAAGATGCAACGCAAAGTGCTTTACAGTTTGGTTAAAAACAATCCCGCCGGCCCATGACCCCTCCCCCCGACCAGATTAGGGCCCTTTAAGGATGACAAATTAAGGCCCTTTAATGATGACATATTAGGGTCCTTTAATGATGACAGATTAGGGCCCTTTAATAATGAAAGATTAGGGCCCTTTAATTATGACAGATTAGGGCCCTTTAATGATGGCAGATTAGGACCCTTTAATGATGACAGATTAGGGCCCTTTAGTAATGACGGATTAGGGCCCTTTAATAATGACAGATTAGGGCCCTTTAATAATGACAGATTAGGACCCTTTAATGATGACGGATTAGAGCCCTTTAATGATGACAGATTAGGGCCCTTTAATGATGACAGATTATGGCCCTTTAATGATGACAGATTAGGGCCCTTTAATAATGACAGATTAGGACCCTGTAATGCCGACAGATTAGGGCCTTTTAATGACGACAGATAAGAGCCCTTTAATGATGACAGATTAGAGCCCTTTAATGATGACAGATTATGGCCCTTTAATGATGACAGATTAGGGCCCTTTAATGATGACAGATTAGGGCCCTTTAATGATGACAGATCAAGGCCCTTTAATGAGGACAGATTAGGGCCCTTTAATGACGACAGATTAGAGCCCTTTAATGATGACCAATACCTATCTATCTATAGTTGCAGGACTGTGTTTTTACCGGAGCGTCTCTTTGATGGCTCCTTTCACCAGAGGGATGTGTTTGAGCGTTTCCTGCATGTTGCCCTGGTTCTCCGCTCGGGCCTGGACCACCTCCGCCCTCAGCTCCTCCTGCAGGTTCGGCTGTCGGGCCAATTCATACAGAGTCCACAGCAGAGTGATGGACGTCTGCGGCCAGAAGACAACGGTCATATTCTCAGTGGAAAATACAGCAGAATAAACAGAACAAAAGAGCAATGCAATTCTCCCTCGGGATCAAAACTGTCTCTATCTATTTACAGATGATTTATTTTCTAATTCTAAGGGAGACATTTCTGTGTCTGGTTTTAAGGCTCAGTCAGAATGTGCTCAGAGAAAGATGCAGACTTTTTGCAGTGTTGGTTTGTACTTTGGCAGCAGAGAATATGAGCAGAATAAACCGAAGCAGAAGGTAAAAGTGAAGAGAGAATTATCAGATGAATGGAATATGTAATTATGTAAATATGAACTACACTGCAAAAAATGATAAAATATTAGACAAGATTTGGCCAATGGAACAAGCTAAAATATATTCATTCATCGATCAAGAAATGTCTCCCTTGGAATGAGAAATATTTCGAAACAGCACTAGAAATAAGACTAAACGGCTTAATCCATTGGCAAGTTTTGAGACTGTCAAAATGTGCTCAAATTAAGATAAAAACACTTAATTTAAGCGTTTATTACCTCATATTTGATCATTTTTGCAGTGTAAGACTATAGCAGAAAAAGTAAGTCAGGAGATAACAGTGGTTCAGTTGGTAGAACATTGGCCTTTGAGCCTGAAGGTTGTGAGTTCTAGCCCATCACGAGACCTTCTCCACCGACTCCCACTGACATCTGCTGTGGTTGTGTCCTTGAGCAAGACACTTTCCCCCACTTTGCCTGTATGGAGCACAGAAGTAACGCCCTGCTGCATACCTTGATGTGTTTTGACCAAATTTCTCCGTTGTGAGATCAATAAAGTATATTTTCTTCTTCTGAAAAGTCTCAGAAAGTGAGCGGATGCGGTTGTGTTTTTACCGTGTCGACGCCTCCGGCCATGAGCTCCGTGACGCTGGCCTTGATGTCCTCGATGGAGAGCTTGTCCAGCAGCAGCAGACGGGCCAGGACCCCGGGGTAGGTCTGAGGCGGCGCTGCGTCCTGACGGAGGCTTCTGTAGATGTTCTGGATGCACCGGTCGGCTGCGCGGCAAAGAGGACACAGGGGAGTGAGAAACCCTCTTCTGCTAAATGTCATTCTGTGCGTTTATCACAGACGACATGTGACAGATCCAGAGAGAAATACTACACTGGGTCATAGATCTACAGCAGTGTGATGGAAAAGAACTGGAAATGTAGAGAATTTACTTATTTTGTTTGAATCGCTGCATCTGAGACCAGAAAGAGAGAGAGACCAGAGAGAGAGAGGCCAGAGAGAGAACAGAGAGAGAGGGACCAGAGAGAGAGAGACCAGAGAGATAGACCAGACAGAGAGGCCAGACAGAGAGAGAGACCAGAGAGAGAGAGACCAGACAGAGAGGCCAGAGAGAGACCAGAGAGAGAGAGACCAGACAGAGAGGCCAGACAGAGAGGCCAGAGAGAGAGACCAGAGAGAGAGAGAGACCAGAGAGATAGACCAGACAGAGAGGCCAGAGAGAGAGAGAGACCAGAGCGAGAGAGAGACCAGAGCGAGAGAGGCCAGAGAGAGAGAGAGAGAGACCAGAGGGAGAGAGGCCAGAGAGAGAGACCAAAGAGAAAGGCCAGAGAGAGGCCTGAAAGAGAGAGATCAGAGAGAGAGAGAGAGAGACCAGAGAGAGAGAGAGAGAGACCAGAGAGAGACCATAGAGAGACCATAGAGAGACCATAGAGAGACTTGTCTGGTTCACACTGGGGACTTTTGTACATTTACTCCAATGTGGTTTTACTGCAAATGGTAACTAAACTGAATCTTGAGTGTTTGAATGAGGGAGAACATGCCCTGGTTGAAGATGCCGTCCCAGGCCTCCACATGGTCCTTCCACACATGGTGCCCCAGCCTCCGCAGCAGCCCCGGGGGCACGTAGAGCATGGGGGAGGTGGTCTTAAACATGCGCGTGATGCAGTCGATAAAGTGCTGCGCGTCCGGATCTATGTAGTCCAGCAGGAGTCCCAGGCGCTCCCCGTACAGCACCGCCCCCACCGCTGCCAGAGACCAGAGAGAGAGACCAGAGAGAGACCAGAGAGAGAGACCAGAGAGAGACCAGAGAGAGAGACCAGAGAGAGACCAGAGAGAGAGACCAGAGAGAGACCAGAGAGAGAGACCAGAGAGAGAGACCAGAGAGAGAGACCAGAGAGAGGCCAGAGAGAGAGACCAGAGAGAGACCAGAGAGAGAGACCAGAGAGAGAGACCAGAGAGAGAGACCAGAGAGAGAGGCCAGAGAGAGACCAGAGAGAGAGGCCAGAGAGAGAGACCAGAGAGAGAGACCAGAGAGAGACCAGAGAGAGAGA